TGATGGGAAGTAGCCACATCATAAGGTATGACCCAAATGATACTTGGGATTAAACCGAATTGCAATCCAATTTTAAGGGAAAAATTGGTAAAAATCCCATTACCGTCAATTCCTTTGTAAAAATATTGGACATAAACTCCTTCATAGAAACCAGAATTCACCCATCTCCAATAATTCCACTTTTGCCCTTTGATCAAAATAAGAATCATTTTTCTGCTACATCTCAAATCAATCATTTTAATTTGATCTCTTTTCTTCTTCTTTTTATTGACCCCATCCAAACTCCAAAAAATTTTCACCAAATAACAACAGAAAAAACTCAACACATAAGTTTGACCATATTGCCCTTCACCCCATCTTCTTTCATAAATGATAACGCAGCCAAAATTCAATAAGTCTTCAACCCAATTAAGATTTCCAATATTACCCTTACTCCTATCCACAACCAACTCCCTCCAATTTCCATCTCCACCAACAATTAAACTATGCCCAAAATACCCCCATTCCTTTATACTTTCCACCAAATAATAACAATCATAATAGAGAATATTGTTTTCCAACCAACCAGCCCTGCGACTAACAACCTGGAACACAAAATTATCCATCATCCCTTTATTCTTCAGATCAATCTTCATCCAATCCTCCAAAAAAATTAAAAAGCCATACACAAAAACGATCAAGCAATTCACAAAAAGATGATCCTTTTTATTTTCCTTCCAATTTTGCCTAATATACCCTTTAATCCATTTCCTTATACTCTCTTTGTTGTTAAAATCCTTCCTTTTATCCTCTCTCCCATACATATTTCTAGACATACTGAAGAACCAACATGAATCATAATTACCGAAATACCCTACCTCCCAAATCCCATCTTCACAGTCAATTAAAATGAATCGCAATCTGCCCCTGTTTAAATCTTTCCCTTCTTTGTGATAAAAACCACTAACTCGCATGCACTTATTCCATCCTGAGTAATTGAAATTATCACCAAAAATATGAAACAGCCCAGTCGCTCCTTTATCAATCCGATACCCAAACAGCCCCTGTTCAAGAATTAAACAATTGCGGTTTTTATTCTTCAATTTCACCTCCTTCCGATCCTTCCAATCAGATATACAGTCGAAATCTTTAATACTCAAGCCAAACTCTATTAATTCATCCAATTTATTAAAATTCCACCCTTGACGAAAATGCCCTTTGACCAAAAAGTTTGAAATTCCGTTTTTATTTTCAATCTTCGTTATTTCCACCAATCGCATTCCATAATTTCTTTCCTGCCTCCAATTCCAATTCAGCCACCCTACCACATTAACGCATAACCCTCTTCTCAACTTAATTTCTTCTTTCATGGAAATAATCTTCATTTTTAACTGAGACATTCCACTGCTTGCAAATTTCTGCATTAAGCCCAAGATAACCCAATTTAAGGCTAGACATCTTCAGTCGAATGTCTTCTGTGATAAATTTAACCACATTATCCACTGAATTGCTCTGTTTCCCAAACAACCTTTTATTCCTTTCATTCCATATATGATAAACAGAAGCCGCCAAAGCTATTTTTTTAATGAAGTTATTAATATTTTTCTTTTTTAGCAAATCTTGAAGTTCATCAATAATTTCAAACCAATTGCCAGTATTATGCTTTATTTCCACCTTATTTTTCATCAGCTTCCAAACATCTTTGGAGAATTTACAATCAAAAAATAGATGAGAATGAGAATCCAATTTAGATTTGCAAAAAACACAGCTAAACTCATTAGAATCTTTCCATTTCTTCATTCTGTCCTGCGTTCTAAGCCTTCCCAGAATAGCAAGCCAAAGTATAAAACAATGACTTGGGATTCTGTTTTGGAACCAAACCAGGTGATACCATTTGACAGTTGACTCATGGCATATAAGAGAAGAAGAAACCTGATTAACTGCAAATGGGACAATTGTACCTTTATGATTCCTCCAATGAACCTCATCCTTTTTCTCTGCAACAAGTCTTGGCATAAGAAAATCACCTAACTGAGGGATCATTTCAAGCCATTCAGCAGGCCAGCTCCAGTTCCCTTCACCAATAACATCACTAACTGTATCCCTTATGTTATATCCAGCATTAGTAATTTCCCTATGCGAAAGAACATAACCCAAAGGACCCAATTGGTGCCAGTTATCAAACCACATGTTTGTATCCTTTCCATTTCCAAGCTGACTAACAAAAAAATCCCGAACACAAGGTCGAATTTTCATTAAGTTTCTCCAACTCCAGCTTACTTTGTCTTTTAAACCCACTTCCCAGAAGCTTCTCCCTTCGAGAAGATAGAACTTAACCCATTTGACCCATAAAGAGTTCTTCCCACTTATGATATTCCAAATTCTGCTGGAAAGAAGGGCAATGTTCCAATCATTAAGATTTTTTAATCCAAGACCGCCATAAACCTTAGGTTTGCAAATTTCAATCCAAGACACCTTAGCAACTCCCTTTCCATTTTGACCACTATTCCAAAGGAAATTCCTCATAATTTTTTCAATTTCTTTAGTGATGCCCTTTGGTAATAACACAGCTGAAGCCCAATACACAGGGAGAGACGAAAGCACAGCACTAATTAATTGGAGTCTACCCGCGTAAGATAGAGACTTATTCTTCCAATCATTAACTTTACGCTTCACTTTATCAACAAGACCCTTGCAGTCTCTAATAAATAACTTAGTAGACACCAAAGGAATACCAAGATACTTCATGGGCAATTTCCCTTCAACAAACGGGAGGATCCTCAAAATTTTCCTTTTAAACGGTCCCTTAACATTCCCAAAAAATATGTGGCTTTTAGCAAGATTTGGCATAAGACCCGCAGCATTAGCAAATTCATCCAAAGCTTTTTTAATGATTTTAATGGAACAAGAATCGCCATGACAAAAAACCATTAGGTCATCAGCAAAACACAGATGTGTAATCTTCTGTTTTTCACATCTCCAATGATACTTGAAGCCATTATTGTCCCTAATACACCTTTTGAGCATGAGGTTGAAAACTTCCATAACGAGAGTAAAAAGATATGGAGATAAAGGACAGCCCTGACGCAGGCCTCTCTTGCCTTGAAAAAACCCATGAAATCTACCATTAATGTTAATCATGAACGAAGAAGTAGTAACACAGTTCATGATCCACTTAATCATAGAGCTGTGAAACCCAAATTCTTTCAAGATATGCTGCAAAAACTTCCAATTAACCATATCATAAGCTTTTTGAATGTCTATCTTCAAGGCACAACGAGCATAACCCCGATCAATATGATATCCTCTAACCAGCTCTTGAGATAACAGGACATTATCCAAGATAGTTCGCCCTGGAATAAAAGCTGATTGATTATCCGAAACCAAACAACCAAGATGATCTCGAATCCGATTAACAATAATTTTGCTGATGCATTTGTAAACAACATTACAACATGAAATCGGCCTGTAATCCCCAATTTGACCAGGAGTTGGAACTTTAGGAACTAAGGCAATAACAGTTGTATTGATCTCCTTCAATATTTTCTTAGACAAGAAAAACTCCTTAACAGCAAAACAGAAATCCTCCCCCACAATCCTCCAAGCTTTTTTAAAGAATTTTGAAGAATACCCATATGGTCCCGGCGCTTTGTCATCATCTATATCAAATAAAGCTCTTTTAATCTCTTCATTTGTGACTTCATTAACCATGTCGAGAGCTTGATTGTTGTCAAGACGATTAGTAAAGAGATTATTTGGACACACAAGGGAAGTAACCTCATGATCAACACCAAGAAACTCTCTAAAATAATCAACAATCACTCTAGAAGCCTCCTCCCCTTCTTTCCAATTGCCATTACTATCAAGAATATTTTCAATTCTATTCCTATTTATTTTCCCCTTGACAATTTTATGAAAATAATTAGAATTAGAATCTCCTTCTTTTAGCCACTGAACTTTAGCTCTTTGCTTTAAATAACATTCTTCTTCTCTACTAGCATTTAGAAAAGATTGAAGATAAAAACTCTCTTCAATTCTTAAGTCTTCATTACCCGGATCTCTATCAAGCTCAAATTGAATCCTACTCAAATCATCTCTGCATTTGGAAACTTTTTCAGCATACTTTCCATGCAAATTTAACAGCTTTCGGAGAGGCTTCTTCAAAAATTTAAGCTTTTGACAGAGACGAAACATGCCAAAACCCTCAACTTCAGTTTTCCAAACATTAGCAACTAACGGAAGAAACTCATCCAGCAGTGTGAGGGAATTAACAAACTTGAAAGGCCGAACTCTGAACTTCTTTTTAACAGGAAATTTAATGATCATAGGACTATGATCAGAACATTTATACGGCTGAAAATTAGCAAAAACATCTGGATAATCCTCAATAAATTTGAAATTTCCCAGCACACGATCCAGTTTTTTCAGAACTCCATTTAGCCCATTCGGTCTTTGATTCCAAGTATAATGCAATCCACTTCTGTTAATATCTTGAACTTCAATGTGATTCATACAATCATTGAATTCAACCATTCCTTTAGAGATTCTAGAATTTCCAGCCGAAGAATCAATAAGCTCTTTAGTAACATTGAAATCCCCAAGAATCAACCACGGAGAATTATTAACAGAATAGAAATGCTTAACCAGCGAATCCCATAAAATCCTTCTATCCATGTAGTAATTGCAAGCATAGATGAAAGAACAAAGGATCTTTTTATTTTCTTTTATAAAAAGAATCTGACAATGCATAACCTGACTATTAACGTCCAACGGCATGACAACTAATTCATCCGGGTCCCACCCAATAATAATACGAGTGCCTTTAGGGCTCACATCATGATTTGAAATCCACATCCAGTTCCCAAAAACATTATTACACGTTGTTTGCAACTTATTAAATCTCAGCTGGGACTCAAGAATAGCAAACAAAGACAAATTATTGCTTCTAATCACATTCTTTATTTCCTCCTGTTTAGGCCTTAAATTCGAACCCCTCACATTCCAGCACCCTATATTCATCATCATTGATCAACATTTGAATTTTCGGTGTTCATCTCCTGGCCACCTCCAGTTAAAATCATCTCCTGATCAATTTCATCTAAGTAAGACATATCCCTTAATCCCAAATCAGCAAGCACATCAAAGGGGTTTTGTGATAATATCTCATCTTGATTATCTTTTCCTGAAGTAGAACCTGATTTGTCAAAGTTAGAACTAACTTTTAAATCCACCTGCTTTTTAGGAACATACACCTTTTTTTGATTTTCTTCTTTTTTCCCCTGCATTCCATCTTTTTTAGCATTAAAATTTTCAATAACATTTTTAACTCTTATCCCCATTTTTTCTTTTGGGATAAACACCCCTGTACCATTCACTTTCCCATTTTTATCCTCTTTTGACTGAAATACCCCTTTCTCCGTCCCATCTTTTTTGAGATTGCCCACTGCAAATTTCGAATAATATCCCCCATTATTTCTACCTTCAGCCCCTTTTCTGTTTTGTTCTTCTTTCATATCTTCTTTTTGCTTTTCTTTTTCTTCAATTTGTTTGTTATTATTTTTCCTTTGCTCACCCTCCTCTATAGACTTTCCTTCATTGTTGCCACCTTTATCTCCTTCACTAACAGGTTTCGTGTTTTTCTCCAAGGACTTAATTAAATCCACTTTCCCTTCTTCATTAATAATCACACCTTTATTGTTGAACTTCTGCCCTTTGTTGCTTTTCTTTGTGACTAAAATGAACCCATCATCATCAATTTTATCTTTTTTCCCATCCTCTTCTCTGTTTACAGCAACATCAGCACCATTATCATTTTTTGCCCCATTAAGAATTCCACAATTGCTATCTTTATGCCCATATATTTTGCAGTGATTACAAACATCAGGTCTCCACGCATACTCTACCCTACACTTTGATTCAACTTTTTCTCCTGTCCCAAAATCAATTGAGACCACACTTAACTCTTTCATCCAATCCGATTCTGCTGACATTTCCACAAGAAATCGCATGAATGTTGGCCTTCCCCAGTGCTCATTACACATTTTTTGCGTTATTTTATCCATGGCAATTGGTTTCCCAATCTCATTAGCAATCAAAGTAATTCCTTTGCTGTTCCAATATTCCAATGGAACATTAAACACTTTAACCCAAACAGGAACTGAGTTGATTTGCGGTTTACTCAAAACTAGACCTGGCCTCCATCTTTGAACAAACATTGGGACATTGTTAATCAACCATGGACCTCCCTCCAGCACACTCATCATTCCTTCTTTTGAATCAAACTTGAAGAAAAAAAATCCCTCATCATTCACCATTATATCCTTCAGCCCATACATCTTCCACATCTTAAAAGAAAAATGATTAACTGTTGGGAAAGCAAGCTTTTTCCCCACAAAAAATCCATACAAAGTAGCATGATAAGGAGCACCACCCAACATTAAATCTGCATAAGGTAACTCAACTTTCCCACTAGGTTTCCCATCAACTTTTGGAATAACTTTGATATTAAGATCCACCACATTATTTGTTGATTCAACCATACGATCATAAGATTTTTTATTGAACTCATTAACCAACTTAGCTGCAGGGGAAAGGACAGGTTTCGAAAAATCCATATTCAAGAAATTAGCTCCCTGTTCTTTCTTCATATTATTACCATAATCAACTTCCAAATTCCCATTCTCATTAATAGAATCTTTCATATCTTCATCATTACAATTAGTATTACAACTAATTGGGTCAATAGGATTAGCATTAAAGACCACAGGAATACCTGAATTAACTGAAACATCTTGCGAAACAGGAAACTTTCCCAAAATGCCCTTCCCATCATTTGTTTCAATTACAGGACCAGGACCTGAAGAAGACGAACCAGGGCCTGAAGCAGACGAACCCATCTTCATTAATTTCGAAGAAATGAAGTCCTTAGTAACCTTTGACTCATCAACCAAATTGCCTTTGTCATTCTTTGTTCCAGCTGAAATTCTATTGTTCGACCCAGTTACAGTTCCAGCATCCATTCCCATGTTCGCTTGAATAACAGGAGACGAAGGAGATGATCCACCCACCAAATTCTTAGAAGAATTATATCCCTTAACCATATCTGAGGTTACCTGGAGCAACACAAATCCTTTTTCTTCTTCCAATTTTTTCTGATTAGCGATCACCTTATCGAACGCCTCCAACTCCGATTTTATAAATTGCGGATCTATATTTTCTTTTCCATAGTTTGATTTTATTATTTCACGTACTCCAGCTCGAAGAACTTCTTTCGATCCATCAGCAATAGATTTCGTATTCAGATACTTCTTTTCTTCCCTTAACCGATTAATTTTAGCTTCCATTTTTTCTTTTGATCGTAATGGTTTAATCATTGAATACGGAGAAAATTCCTTGTGCATAGCTCTTCTTCCTCTTCGTTTAGCTCCAACATCAGCTTCCAGATCATCTTCATATAGATTTTTGTTAGCTGGATCAGGTGGATCTTTGTAATTCATGCCAAACATACTTCCAATTTTCCAGAACATCCGATCACCAATCGTATAAACAATTGGAACTCGTTTTAAATTGAATTCAATCAACGATGATGAAATTCCGGCACCGGCAAGAGATCCGATCACCAGAATCCCAACCAAGCCACTCACCAAAACTGGAAAACCGAGAGAGAAATTCCTAGAGAGAGAAAGTTAGAGAGAGAAAAATTTTTAGCAAATGACTTGGGTTTGGGTTTAGGGTTTAGGGTTTAGGGTTTAGGGTTTAGGGTTTAGGGTTTAGGGTTTAGGGTTTAGGGTTTAGGGTTTAGGGTTTAGGGTTTAGGGTTTAGGGTTTAGGGTTTAGGGTTTTAGGGTTTTAGGGTTTTAGGGTTTTAGGGTTTAGGGTTTAGGGTTTAGGGTTTAGGGTTTAGGGTTTAGGGTTTAGGGTTTAGGGTTTAGGGTTTAGGGTTTAGGGTTTAGGGTTTAGGGTTTAGGGTTTTTTTTTTTTGGATAAAAGGGGAAGACCCCTTGGCAAATTTTATTGAAAAGAAAAAACAATACAAGGGAAGAGGGCAACCGCCCAAAAAACCTAACAACTAACCTAACAACAAAGCTACAAAACTAAAAAACTACACTAAAAGAACACAAGCATCAAACCCTATCTAAACAAACCAACCGATCCACTTCCATGTCCAACTCCAACACAAGGAGTGAAACCAAATATAACTAACAAAGAAAAACACAATAAAATCAAAATTAACAACCTTCCAATTAACGAAATCTTCAAGGTCTTCAATCTTCATATAGCTTCCAATCTTCCTCCAAGTCAAACCCCTAAAGATGGCCTCATATTCAAACAAATAGTCCAAGGTTTGAATAATATTAGTCTTCCAATGCTTCCAAGGAACATCCAACTCAAGAGAATCATTGGCCAAATCATTCAAAACTACAATAGTTTGCAAATATCTCCACACGAAACTAAAACCGAAAATAGCAATTAACTTTGAACTTTGAACAATATTCTTCATGCAATTCTTCCCAATCTTCTCCACAAGATAATTGATAACCTTCTTTCCAATCTTCACTTTAGAATCCAATAAGCTCCAAAAGAGATTCTTCAAAACCCGAGAGAGTATGATGCTAAAACCATTATTTTCCAACAAATCCCAACATTTCCAAATCTTCTTCAGATTGTCTTCAACTTCTTTGTTGCCCAAACTAAGCCAATTACTCTTCAATAATTCTTCCAAAATAATAATCCAAGAATTCCGAAACTGCCCTTGGATAAAATCCCAACCTCTAGCAAATAAATATCTCATAAGCACAATTAAACCACAATCCTCAAGGTTACAAAAAACTACATTGCCAACTTTCTTCTTAAGAATCAACCCAAAAGATTGAAACCCGTCAATTCCTTTTTTAATGAGAGTATTCCAAAAATACCCCTGAAGGTAAATCCTTAAAAAATTAAGAATAAACCCTCCAAATTCCACATCAAAGGCAAAAAAAACCAATGATAATCGGGATGGACCGATTAGCTTTAAAATTTTGGTAAAACCAAAGGGATTGTAAGGTCCCAAAGTGGTTGTTTTTATGAAAACAAGGGAAACAACCAACCCAATTGTGGTACAGTCTAAGGTTAACGTACCCAATCCAGTGTATTGCCGGGTAAATATCCCACCACTTGCTAATCGAACTAGCAGTGGCACCCACTAAAGTGGAGATTCCTAGTTGCCTAGGAAGAAATTTCCAACTAACGGGGATCAAACCCATTTGCTTTAAAAAATTGACCACTTCAAAGGAAAAGATTCCAATGAAATCTGGGATAAACCAGACAGCAATAAGCAAAAAAGGATCCATAAAGCTCCAAGTGTGGTTGTTTTTATGGTAACAAAGGAAACAACCAACCTGTAAGTGGTACAGTCTAAGGTTAACGTACCCAATCCCGTGTATTGCCGGGTGAATATCCCACCACTTGCTAATCGAACTAGCAGTGGCACCCACATAAGTGGAGAATCCTAGTTGCCTAGGATAAAAGCACCTACTAATGGGGATCAAACCCAAATGCAATAAGAAATAATCCACTTCAAAGGAAAAAGATCCAATGAAATCCGGGATGCACCGGATAGCAGTAGCCTTATACTTATGCCAAAAAATCCTAAAGTGGTTGTTTTTATGGATACAAGGGAAACAACCAACCCATTTGTGGTACAGTTTAAGGAAAACGTACCCAATCCCTGGTATTGACGGGTAATTATCCCACCACTTGCTAATCGAACTAGCAGTGGCACCCACCAAAGTGGAGACTCCAAGTTGCCAAGGAGGAAAACAACTTAAAATGGGGATGAAACCCATTTGCATAATAAAAACCACTTCTAAAGGAACAATCCTCAAGAAAATCGGGATAAAACCGATAAGCAAAACAATTTTTAAAGGAAAATTGTTAAACCTAAGACCGTCAATTCCTTTGATCATTAAAAAAATCATGATTTTTCTTTCCCACAGGAACACCCCACTTTGTTTTAACATCATTATCAAACCCCAAAAATTCACCCTTAAGACCAATAAGTTTGAGGCGGATTTCTTCAAAAATGTTCAAAGCAATTTTCATCTCATCAGTCTTTCCTTTTCTGAAAAGTCTGCAATTTCTTTCTCTCCAAATAAAATAAACAGCGGCAGCAAAAGCAATCTTCATAATAAAGATTTGAATGCTTTTCCCTTTAAACAAGACTTGAAGTTCTTCAATTAACTCTTTCCATCCATGAGAATTGCTTCTAATCCCCACTTTATCCTTCACAACTTTCCAGACAAGTGAAGAATAATTGCATTCAAAGAACAAGTGGCTATGCGAATCCGGCTGTATGTTGCATAAAGAACATTTGAGATTCTTATTTTTGTCCCAAATCTCATTCTGTCTTGAGTCGTCAGTCTCTCTTGAATAGCCAACCAAAGGATAAAGCTGAGTCTAGGGATGCATTGCTTGAACCAAACAATATGGACCCACGGAACCTTTTGATCATAATTGCTTAAATCTTTCCAGACATGTTGAATATCAAACTCCACCTTTTGACCATTCCTTTCCCTCCAAAGAACTTTATCAGCAACCAAGGGATCAAGTTTCGGCAATTGATAATCATTCAATTGAGGGATTATCAAAAGCCATTCAGCAGGCCAAAACCAAGAAATATCAGATATAACATCTTTAACTTTGTCTGATATTCTGAATCCAGCACTAGCAATCTCCCTAGGTGAAAGGACATAAGAAAGAGCTCCAAGAGAATGCCAGTCGTCATACCACATAAAAGTGTTGGCTCCATTCCCCACCTTAGAACAAAAATGAATTCGGAAATAAGGTCTCAATCTAATCAAATTTCTCCAACTCCAGCTCATATCTTGCTTTTCTTGGACATCCCAAAAACATCTCCCTTTAAGAACATTGGTATTGATCCATTTAACCCAAATAGAATCATAATTAGAAAGGATCATCCAAATTCTCTTAGAAAGAATCGCTTTATTCCAAGCTCTAAGATTTCTCAAACCCAAACCTCCATGCTCCAATGGTTTACAAATTGAGGACCAAGCAACTTTAGCCCTTCCTTTCTTAGACTCATCACAGTCCCAAAGGAAATTCTTCATCAACTTCTCAATTTCCTTTGTGGTAGCCGCTGGGATAAGAAGACAAGATGCCCAATACACTGGAAGAGAAAAAAGAACTGAAGATATAAGCTGCAATCTTCCAGCGTAAGAGAGAAATTTGTTTCTCCAATCACCAAGTCTGCATCTAACTTTATCAACAAGACCTTTGCAATCACGAATAAATAATCTTGTTGAAATTAGAGGAATTCCTAGGTATCGCATTGGTAATTTTCCTTCAACAAAAGGAAGAGTGTCCAAAATTTTACTCTTCACATTAGCTTTGACACTACCGAAAAAAATGTGGCTTTTAGAAAAATTAGGATGAAGACCGGCCACTCCAGCGAATTCTTCAAGGCTCTCTTTTATCACTCTAACCGAAGCCGAATTGCCGTAACAAAAAATCATCAAATCGTCGGCAAAACACAGATGTGTGAGCTTGATCTTCTTGCATTTCCAATGGAACTTGAATAGAGGCTCACATATTATTCGTCTTTGAAGAATCAAATTAAAAACCTCCATAACCAATGTAAAAAGATAGGGAGATAAAGGACATCCCTGGCGAAGACCTCTCTTTCCTTCAAAATAACCGTGGAAAGACCCATTTATGTTGATCATGTACGAAGGAGAAGAAACGCATTGCATGATCCACTTTATCATAGCCGGGTGGAATCCAAAAAGAAAAAGGATATCCTGTAAAAAAGACCAGCTTACAGTATCATAAGCTTTTTGGATGTCCACCTTTAGAGCACATCTAGAAAAACCTCGAGCTCTATGGTATCCCCTGACGAGTTCTTGCGAGAGAAGAATGTTGTCAGTGATTGATCTGCCAGGAATAAACGCTGACTGATTTTCAGCAACAATAGAACCCAAATGATTTCTTATTCGAGCCACAATAACTTTGCTTATGCATTTATATATAACCGAACAGCAGGAGATAGGTCTAAAGTCACTAACTTTTCCAGGAGAGTCAACTTTAGGAATTAAAGCAATGACAGTAGCGTTAACTTCTTTGAGGATTTTCCCATTGGCAAAAAATTCCTTGACAGCAAGACAGAAATCCTCCTCAACAATCGACCACATAGATTTAAAAAATTTGGTAGAAAAACCATCAGGTCCAGGAGATTTATCATCCTCAATATCAAAAAGAGCAGATTTAATTTCCTCATTTGTCACAATTTTGATCATCTCAGCAGCATCCACAAGATCTAATTTTTTAAAAAATAAAGAACTCGGCAAATGTATATCAGAACAGGGAACTTCAGTGCCGAGAAATTCTTTGAAATAATCCACGAATTCTTTATAAACTGCCTCACCCTCCAGCCATTCCCCTCTTCTGTTCATGATTGCTTCGATTCTGTTTTTGTGAGATCTTCCCTTAACAATTCTGTGAAAAAATTTCGAATTGCTGTCTCCTTCTTTAAGCCAGTGGATTTTAGCTTTTTGTCTTAAAAAATTTTCCTCTTTCTCGCAATCTTTTTTGAATTCTCCAAGAAAAATAGCTTCTAATTCACGAAGTTGGACATTGAAAGGATCCGCATCAAGATCAGATTGAACAGCTTCCAATTCTTTTCGGAGATGAATAACATTTTCCGAGAAATGTCCCTGATTTTTTAACAATTTGCGAATGGGTTTCTTGAGATTTTTGAGTTTTTGAATTAAACAAAACATTTTGATTCCCTGAACTTCAACTTTCCATTGCTTTTCCACCAAAATTTTCAGCTCCGGGTTCAAAGTAAGCACATTAGGGAATTTGAAAGGGAGGACTTTAAAATTGATCTTCAATGGTAATTTGATTACAATTGGGCTGTGATCTGAAATTCCATACGGGAGAAAAGAAGCATAAATTGAAGGGAACTCATCTAACAACCTGCTGTTACCCATAACACGATCAAGCTTTTTCAAAATTCCATCAATACCCTTCGGTTTTTGGTTCCAAGTGAAGTTCAACCCGTTGCTGTTGATGTCTTGGATTTCTATGGAATTGATGCACTCAATGAATTCCACCATGCCTTTAGAATATCTTGAGGATCCCATAGTACTCTCGTTGAGATTAAGAGTGACATTAAAATCTCCTCCAACTAGCCAAGGATCGTTCTTAACTAACCCTTTATGATGAACTAAGGAAGCCCATAAAGCCCTCCTGTCCATATATTTATTAGCTGCATAAACGATAGAACAGAAAACATACTTATTATTATGGGGAAAAGAAACTTTATAATGAAAAACTTGATCATTGTGATCAATCAAGTTGACATTAAAAAGGTTAGGATTCCATCCAATAATAATACGAGACGTATGACCCGTTCCTTTATTAGCAATCCACTTCCAAGATCTAAAGATCTTATCACAATTCACTTAAGTTTATTAAAATTAACTTGAGGTTCCAAAATAGCAAGAAGGCTCAAATTATTTGAATCCATCAGCTTTCTTATCTCTTTTTGTTTAGGGGAGAAATTAAAGCCCCTAACATTCCAAATCCCGAAGCTAATCGTCATTGGGAAGGTGATTCCATGTTGGTATCTGTCAAAGGGATACCTCCTATCACCTCCATTTGATCCACTGAATCCAAGTAAGCTAAATCAGCCTCATCAACTCCCTTCTTCGCAAAAACAAAAGGATTCTCTTCTTCCAAATTATTGAGAACATCAAATTTATTGTTAGTTGAAAAATTAAAAGGGCTGTTAGACTTCAGAGAATGAGGCTTAGAATCAAAATTCGAGCTAATTTTGAAGTCCAGCCCAGATTTCGAAACATATTTCTGTCCAACAACTTTAATTTTTCCTGTCTTCAGATTTTACTTCTTCCTCAATTTTTCCACTGCCATGAGAAAAGCCTGCCACATCCTTTTTTCCCATAAAATTCGCAGCATTATTCTCCCTCTTATTCAACAAATAATCATTATTACTTGTCTGCCCCTGCTCGAAATTTCTGCTATAAAAACTTCCCTTCATAATTTGATTTTTTCCCATTATACCCCTGTGAACCTTTTCCTTTATTCCATTGATTTCCCTCAGCCGTCATAACTGATTTAACACTTTTATTCCCTTTTTGCCCCTGCAAGCTAGCTTTAGTTCCGTTTTCTATTTTTTCCCCTCCATAACTTTTCCCTTTTTGCCCTTGATTCGCATTTTGCTTTTTATTCTTCATTTCTTCCTTTGAATTTTTCTCC